GATATACTGAACTTATGAGGCATGTTAACACTGAACCGCTGTGAACCCACCTACAGAGGAGACACACCACACACACACACACACACACCACACACACACACCACACACACACACACACACACACACACACACACACACACACACACACACACACACACACACACACACACACACACACACCTGTGTTATAAAGAGGTCACAGTGGCATTATCAGAGGAATAATGCATGTGGCTTAAGTGTTAGTACACCGTGTACACATGCTGCCTTTAGGACCTTAACGGTGTCTCTGTACATTTAACTATTAATAAATCAATAATCAACATCCATCCGTGTGGACTTCAACTCTTTCCTGTGAGTGTGTGTACCTCGTCCGGTGTGTCCTCCTGCTTCTTCATCCCGGCACACTTGGTGATGATGAGCTCATGGCAGCGCTTGTGGACGACACACGTACACACTGGGGAGCACAGCAGAAATATTCACACAATAAATGTTAAAATCATCAAACAGAAAAGAATAAGGGACATGACAAATAGTTTGGGCGCAAGATCAAGTGAGGGATGTTTAATATGTAACTTGGATTTCAATCATTATTTTAAGTTTTTGGATAAACAGCAACAAATAAAAGTGACAATATTCCAAAATGGCTGAGCGGTGCAGCAGTGCTGCGGCGCCGTGTGATGCATCGATTTGATACACTGATGTAATATCCGAGCCCACACTGACCTTATTAAGGGGATCTGGTGTCAGCCAAATGGGACCGACCCACATTCAACATCAATACAAAAAAGGTCCAAACCTTTTAAGAAATAAATAAATAAAATCTTCAAAAGATAAAAAAAAAAAAGTGCGCTGTGTATTTTTGGCCTCACATACTCCAAGATAAAGGAGCCTGATTGGTGCACTGCAGTGACGTCAACAAAGAATAAAAGGTTACGGTATTAGACAGTCTGTTATTGGCTGATACTTTGATTTTAAATATTAGGAATCTTTATCTGAATAAGATAAAGGGCAACTAATGCAAATGTAATCAATAACTACCTTGATTTATGTCCTGTGATAATAATTAAGACAACAGAGAGGTAGTACAACCCGATCAGAAGCAATGAATCTCCAGATCTTGAAATAATGTAAATGAAACACATTTTTAGAAATCACAACGCTCTTGTGGTCAAAGTGTGTGGTGAAGGAAACACAGCGTAAACAATGCATGCAGCATTTAGCAGCAGTTAGCAGAGCAACAGCAGCAGCTTCAGGCCTCTTCCTGCATCTACAGATGATGCATTCAGGTGCAGAAGTAAGTGTAGGGCACATACACAGAGTAGTCGTTGTTCTGCACATGAAACAGAACAACGTAAATGTTAAGCATCAAATAAAAGATTCTGCTTACAGTTTGTTTTTGCACCAACCCGTTGATGGGGGTGTGATATAAATATAAAAAATGTTGTTTTTTTTTTCAATTGGCTTTCAGGCTGAAAAAAAACAGACTCGTGTTAAAGCCGTAAAGAGGGTCTGCTTTGGTGGGTGCAGGTTGTTTAAGGTACACACGAGACACGAAAGGATCCAAGAAGTCCATTTGGGGTAACAGATGAATGCATTTAAAGACTCATCAGCTGCCAAAACATTACACAACACAGTATCACAGATGGGATGTTAGAACTCTGGAAAGTTATCACGGCAGCAACTAATCTTTCTCTGCAGTCATTGCTGCAGCAAAAAGCAGAAAAAACAACATTTAAGTTACAAAGACTTACACCAGGAATGTACAACCGCACATATTGTTTTAGCCAAAGGAGCACCCCATTCAAATAATGAAAGTGACAGAATGCAACCCCTAAAAAAAAGTAGACTAAATGACACACCTATCAGCACACCCTTAGCGCTCTCCAGAACACATTAACAGCTCTTCTTTCTTCATCTGCATGTTAGCACCGGATGCACTTTCATTTCTGCAGAATCATTTCATGCGACCGTTAAGTCCTTAAGAGTCTGGGCTGCACATTCGTCGTACTCCATGTGCCTGACTTAAGCCTTAATTAAGTCAGGGAAACTTGGACTTCCAGAAGATGTTAAAGTCTTCTTACATAAAATAAATGTGGGAAAAATCTGTTAAGAAAATGTATATCTGAAAAAGTATTCAAGAATATCTTTTTGTAAGGTTGTGTTTTTGAGAGTATGTCTGGGGAAACGTACCAACACTGTCCTTATGAAAGTACATTGATTGGCTGAATGTGCAGCTGCACATCAAAATGCGTGCATTTATTTGCAGCATGAGTTTTGCAGGAGAACAACCGGCAGCTTTCGATCAAGCGATCCATTTTATTTATGCATCACCTAATCACAGCAGAAGTTATCTCATGACACCGTATATATAGAGCATGTGCTGATGTCCATTCACATTCTGAATAACAGGTAATGTAGGATGCGACCGTGCATTATGTCAACATGTCTCTGCTGTAAGAAAGTGTTCTTCTCTGTGCAATTTTTACATGAAGTGCTGTGCTTTATGATTTCTTTTTATGTCTTTTTTTTCCATTCTCTTGTCCCTGCAGGAGTCCAATAATTCCCCCTTGGGGTCAATGCAGTATATCTTATGTTACCATGCAAGTTAGAGTAGTGTTTATAATTATCATTTAGAGAGACTCTTTTGTTATTTAACCAGGAAAGCCTCATTGAGCGAAAGAATCTCATTAACAAGGAAAAAAAAAGCAGCATCTTTCACTTGTATGTTGTTGAACTATAAATTCTGCAATCCAACACAAACACTTTTAATCTCATTTTTTTTTTGTTAATTTAAAAGGACCACTTTTATTTGAAATTAGCCTTAAAGACCCGTGTTACACTCCGTGAATCTTAATTATTTATTTGTGCCACACTAAAGCAAACACACATGTTGTGAGTGATTCTCTTGACATCATGTGACATAAAACGATGAACTAAACAAACGCAGCTCGAAAGACTTTCTTTAGAGTACTTGATAAATGTGTTATTTAAACGACACAATAAAACTGAGTTATTCTATATGACGCGTGCCTGTTGGATGCATCCCGATGTCACAGGATGTTGGAGAGCTCTGGCTTATCTTTGGCTCAGAGCGATCGGTCGGTGGCTTGAGACCAAATCACAGCTGTCATTCAGCAGCATGTTATCCCTCCTGTGTTCTTTGCTTTAATAAAACATGACGTGCAGAGTTAACTTGAGAAATTGGAAGCCGCCAGAGAAAAGTACTCACCCTGACACTGGTATCCCTGCTTCCCCAGCACGCCCCTATCAGATCACAGATAGAGAGAGAGAGAGAGAGAGAGAGAGAGAGAGTCAGCATTTCAGACAGGTGGTTTTAATGAAACTTTACAGCAGGTTGGGTTTGTGTGTGTTTGTGTTTTCTGTTTTGTGTTGCCTACCAGATAAAATCTCTGCAGTGTGAGCAGTAGGTGGGTTGTCTCAGGTAGGTGGCCATGAACTTGTGTCCATTGACTTGATGGACGCGTCTTCGGACGGCGCCCTGTCGCCGGCGAGGACCGATCCTTTCTCGAAACACTCGCTCCTCATTGTCATTGGTTCCTGAAGCTGTAAAGTGGATACAAAGAAGTTGATCAACAAAAGAAAAAGCAGGAATCTGAAGATTTTTTTTTTTGGGGGTGTGTTTGTGAGTCACTTTTCGATGAGTACTCATATTAAATCGCTGACTATGTTTATTTTACGCACATTGTTTTTTCACTTCCCGGGATGGTTTGTACAAAAAGATCATTTGCATCACGTTGCTCGAGATGTTTAATCATTTAACAGCCTCTCATCTTCCTCCCCCCCCCCTTCCCTCCCGTTCTCTTCCTCACAAACACCCCACACCTACCAGAGGCCTATGCATACGTACATGTGCGCGCTATTTATACTTCCATGTGTGGGCACTTAAACGAAGGACAGCATATTAAAATACTCCTCCTCCTCTGCAAGCAACATCCAAGCAGCCGTTCCCTTCCTCTCTACATCTCCCCGGAAACACAAACGCTTTCCGAGGGTAACCTTAAGACAAGAGAACCACCTCCACTCTCCCGCCCACACACACACACACACACACACACACAAACACAGACACACACACTCCTCTCGGCGCTCCTGTCCTAGTTTGCCTCTCGTTCACTCTCCCTCCATCCATCTCTGGGGTGCGTTATACATGTGGTTACTGCTGAGCCTCTCCAGAGTTCGATTACAGACGGCCTGTCTAGGGACCCAGTGTGTGTGCGTGTGTGTGCGTGCGTGTGTGTGCGTGTGTGTGCGCGCGCGCGTGTGTGTGTGTGTGTGTGAGTGATTGTGTTTGTGTGTTGGAGTGTGTGCAAGTGAAAGTGTGTTTCCGTGTGCTGGTGAGAGAGGGGAGAGACAGCTTAAAAGGCCATTATTGGGATCACTTTGTTTTACATAATACATCATCCATCTGTCCAGGACACACATCACACACACACACACACACACACACACACACACACACACACACACACACACACACACACACACACACACACACATCACACACAAGCAGGCATGCTGATAAGTAGGGGTGATGAGGCAGAATAACATCGTCGCGGACACAGGCGTACACTGGTCCCAGTGAAGGACATACTGGGAGATGAGCGTCCAACAATCAAACACACACACACACACACACACACACACACACACACACACACACACACACACACACACACACACACACACACACACACACACACACACACACAGACGGCGGAGGAGTCAGATCGAAACACAAACACAGGAAAGGACAGAGCTGAACTACAGATAATGAGACAAAGAAATCTGACCTAAAATTGAATGACAATACAACCACGGCAGAAATCAGCTTCTAAAAAACAATGAGAAAGAATGGAGACGAGTTGTGTTCAAAGTTGTTTGAACTCTAATAACTTGAATCAGTTCGAGATGTAGCTGTAGTACTGAAAGCACTCATAGCTCTAGGTAGGTCAGTGATTAAGCAGCAAGGCTTGAAGGATGTTGAAAAAAATCAGAATCAATGAGAAAAAAATCTGCCCAACGGGAGAAACTTCTAGAAGACGACCGAATTAGACTGAAGGAGATGCAAAAAGAGATGAGATGATATTTATAAACCTGAAGCAGGAGAGCTTTTTTGTGTGGTGTAAAGGCGGCCGGAGGAGGCGGAGATATGACTCTGACTTTCTTTAGGTGTGAGAAATCATGATTATCTCCATATCTCTACGAAGCAAGTGAACATTGTTGGTGCTATTGCGAACGGTTCTTTTGCCACACTGTATAAAAGTAGATTAAAGCTTTCTTTTACTACACCCAAGCAGACGGCCTCATTAAAACAGGTGAAGCAAACCAATGAAGCATTTCTTTAGACGAGTGGGACATCGAGTCTCAAGAGGTTTTAGACCTGAAATCAGTTTTCTCTCTTATGTTTCTGTGGAAGTGGAAAAAGCAAAACATACTTTATGAAGATTTCTACGGCTTCAAGTTTAAAATAATATTATTGCTACAAAAACAAGTCACCAAACACGCCCCTTCAACAAAACCAACACTAGGCAATCCGTCAAGCACGTTTGACCCCCAACGTCCAGTTTGCTGGACTATTGTGAGTGCCGCTTACGTGCTCAAGCATGGTACACTTCCTTGGCCCCTTGCACGGTTGGAAGTGTTGTGCTTCAGCAAGGCATGGTTGCTTATGAACAAGCACAGGAACAGGAACGAGGACATGACGTATAATCGATCCCCCACCTTGCATAATCAAGAAATCCAGGATTGTTAAGAGAGCCGTACCTGACCAAAACTCAACATAAGCCACAAAGTCTGTAAAGTTTTGGAGCCATGTTCTCTGTGTTCAGCTATCAGTCTATGGCCGCTATTTGAAAGCAACTGGACATTTGAAGGTGGAGTCTTGTCTTTCATGTTACTGTGTGCATGAGTTGTCGTTGTGAATCAACAAATAAACTTTTGGTTTGCTCCGGTGGCACTACACATATGGTGACGTGTGTACAAGAGGTAACCTGGCCTGGAGCAGTGTGAGGGCAGACCAGTGGGGGACTCGGGAGAGGGGGGGGGGCAATAATGCTTCAGCCCGGTACGGAGCAACATGGCTGCCTAGTGTGAGTGAGCCCTAAAGGAGGGGACAGAAAGGTGGGCAAAGTGTTTCTTAAATGATTAAGAATTTCAATTTTTTTTTTTCCTTTTATCTATGTCTAAATCACTTCTATGCTTTATGTTGTTTTTCTCTGACTGACTGTGCTTTCATATCACAGCACTCGTCTGTTTTTTAATGATGGCAAAAATGTGACTCTGCGCATTTAAAGTGTTCGATCGACATGATGTTTATCTTTTAAGTATGATAAATATGAAAAGAAAACGTTTAAAATGATGAAGAAAATGAGAGAAGGGGAATCCAGAAACACAGACGAGAGACCGCAGATGGTGAGATTAGGTGAGATTATTGTCAATTTTCATCCTGAGACCAACAGATGCACGAGGATGGAAGAGGAGAAAAGAGGAAGAAAAAAAGAAAAAGAGAGGAAAAGTATGAGTCCTCTCAGCCTCCGATGCTGCAGAGAACAGATTGCACCAGGGGAAAAAAAAAAAAATCTGCTAAAAATACCACCTCTTCCTCTAGTTCTCACCCTCCATCTCTCCATCCCTCCTATCAGCAAACACACACACACATGCACACACACACACACACAGCATTTGTTTTTATCAGCATATATTAACGCGCTCGAGCCAGCTGAACCCAGGGAGGAAGTTCAGGAGTGGGCGGAGAGTGGGTCGTGAGGTCACACCAGAGTGTCCAATCACCGATGAGGAGGCCAAGACACGGACGCCTGAGTCTGCATCTGTGTGTGCGTGCGTGTGTGTGTGTGTGTGTATGTGTGTGTGCGTATATGTGTGTTCGTGTGTAATCCAAGGCTCAATCTCACCTACACTATTTTAAGAATCTACTCCCTCTCTCTTTCAATCTCTGCTGCGCTCTTCATCGGTCTTTACAGAGAGGAACTACACTCTGTGTTATACTGCCGGGGTTCTACAATACACCCACCCACACACACACACACACACACACAAACACACACACACACACAAACACACTGTATATTCACTTCCACTTGCACTAGAAGTCTATTTATAAGCAGGTGTGAAGAAACAGGTGAAAATCACTCTTCTCAGACAGCATGTGACTGAGTGCGCGGGCGAGTGTGTGTGTGTGTGTGTGTGTGTGTGTGTGTGTGTGTGTGTGTGTGTGTGTGTGTGTGTGTGTGTGTGTGAAGCAATACTAATTTAGAGCAATATTCTGGCTGTTTCCAGGCATAATCCATACAATCAGATGGAGGCGGAAGGAGAAAACAGAGAAAGTCCTATGTTTTCTGCGTAGGCATTAATCCATTAATCTTTACAATGAATGTAGTTTCCCAGTAGAGCTCCATCCCATTCTCAATGATTGGCTAGAACTCCTCGGCTGTGATAGACCAGTACTTGTTCAACCAAAGTTTCAGGCCCAGTTTCTCACAAGTTATCTGTTTTGAGTAAAAATATCTAATTGGATCAAATCAAATCAAAAACACAAAGTGATATTTGATCTTTTGGAAAGGTGGAAGACTAGTCGCACTTCTGCGTTTTGGTCACAGACTGTAAATATTATTGGAAGAAGCCTGAGTGACGTAAGCCATATGTTATGGCAGGGGGGCTCTGGAGGCTCATCGGCAGCCACCGCCATGACAGGCTGAGAGCTGGAGCTGAGGCGGGTTTAAAGCCTATTGACCAACCGCTACATCGCGCCCACCTGTCAATCATGTCAGCTACGCATCGTTTTCAAAATCAAAACGGATGATTGGTAAAAATTCACCTCCCTTACAGTGTTTGCTCATGAGGACAGCAATCAGACCTATTTGGTTTTTTTTGTGCCAGGCTGTAAACATTAACTTTTACTGTAAAAAAAGACTTTTTTGTCTGTGGTGTGTATGTGACTTCCGGTGCTCTTGGAGCAAGTTTCAAGCAGACATTCGACGAGGATTTTGCACGTTTTTCAAGACTCTTGGTTGCCGCCTGGTTTTGGTTCATTCAAGGTTTGATAGTGCATGTAGGAAGACCGGCCAGTAGGGAGATGCAATAGTCAAAAATAAGTTTCATTTTGTGTGGATTCTGGCGCCTCCTGGGACAAAATTGGTCGTATGTAGTCCCATTTAGAGCACATTTAATATGGATTTGGTCATCTTTAAAACTCTGTATCTGGATAGATTTATCCTATCCAGTTTTTCTTTAAAAAAAAAAAAAAAAAAAAAGGGACACACGTGAGATTGATTAACTGATGCTGGATAGCAAAAAAAAAAGGTGATTTCCAAAACGAGCTCATTCTTATCCAGATTAGACCCTTTGAACAACCAGGAACAGACTATCAACGACAAGCAAACAGAAGAGGAAGGCTTGTGTGATTCCTTTCCTTTGATTGGATGAAATAGTATATTCTGGTAGTTTTACCTTCAGTGGAGGATCCAGACAGATCAATGACCACGTACACCTTCCCCTCTGGCTCCAAGTCAATCTGGAAACAGAGGGAAATAAATAATGGATAAATAAAATGGCTTCACAATGAGTACAGCTGTGTCCTCCAGCACAAACAAACACATCGCACATACAAGAGGTCATTATCCCAATTACCAACATTCTCCTCCCTACCATTTACTCCTCCATCAGCATTAACAATCACCATCTTTATCACATCTTTTACGTCTAACCTCAACATTATCTCCTGCTGCATTGTCTCCAGCATAATTGTTGAACATTCAATTTCAATATCACAACAAACAATTCTACATTTATTGGTCACATACACAATTATACATCGTAGTGATTTTTTTTTAGTACCTGTCAAAGCAAGAGTTATACACATTATATACAGTACATGAAATACATTTAAAATACAGGAAAAACCTCTGAAGTGTACAATTAAAACGTTAAAATACAATATAAAAGGGTAGTGAATGTTGACACATTATATTCATTAGATCAATTTAAAGTACAGAAAAACGCCTTGAGAGTAAAAGGAAACTATATTAATGTGAGAAAATAAAGAGTAAAAAGATTTTGCTTATTGTACACTTTATAATTATAAACGTCTGGGAAATGAGACTACTCAAAGCGCTGGAGGTCACACCAACACATTCACACGTTGATGGCGGAGGTCGCTATGTAAAGTGACCATCAGAATGAACTAATCCCATTCACAAACATGAACGCAGACGAAGCAGCGGGAGCAACTTGGGGTTAAGAGTCTTGCCCAAGGACACATCGGACATGTGGCTGCAGGGGATCAAACCCCTGACCTTCAGGTGTTGAGAGATGACTGAATCTACCAACAGAGCCACTCAAATTGCTCCCCACTAACGTACAGTCCCTTGTAAAGGCTTTAATCAGTCATTTAGAAAATAAAGCGCTTTCACACTTGCACAAAACTCCTGAAATATGAACGCAAAAGGCCACATTTTTAACCCTGACTTCATCCAGAGTTCCTCCTTCCAGCCCCTTCAGTATTTTTATTCCGCATGAAGTCGACGTGAGCTGATGTGAGAATGCAGCCGGATATGATCAGGGGAATTCACCTAGAGCGTTGCCTAATGGTTTGAGGGGAATTCACCTAGAGCGTTGCCTAATGGTTTGATAAAAGAACACAGGTAGCGGTCAAGCTCGTCTGTTAAGTGATGAAACTCAAAACACTAAAAAGGAAAACAAATAGGTTTAGTTTAACTCACATCTTGACTAATGAGAGGACTTAAGACATGTGGACTTAATTAAGGTACGTCTGAAATGACAGGTAAATCTGTTCATAACAAGTTACCCTATATTGTTCATATCTGTTTTTCCAGTGTGCCGTGCAACCACCACACAGGCAGGTTGACCAACCGGCCTAATATTCCTGTTGGAGGAATGATAACATTGACCACCCTGTGCATGCAGGATAGGTTCATTTACATACAGAGATTAACCCTAACAGTGTGTAACATATTATCCAAGGGGATACTTTATAAGCAAAGCAGCAATAAAAAGGTTTCATGCCGCAGAAGACATGAAATAAATACGTATAAAATATTGCATTGGCACGTTGAAGCGCTCAAATTAGCGTCCCTGACAAAATGTTCCTGAGCTGCGAAGACTTTGCAGCCAACAAATCTGCAGCATTGCATGTTGGACAAAGTGAAGCTGGTGGAGACTCATCCAAACCTCGTATTTTTAGATCACCAGCGACCCACTCCTCTCTGTGTCAGCAGACTGTACAACGGGAGGAATCGATCTATTACGATTTACTCACAGGTGGTGTGATGAGATGCCAAAATAAAACTGACTAGTTGGTGGAGGACAAGTGAAGGTGAGGTAGAGCTGCTGCATCAGGAAAATGATGGAGCTGCATGACATATTATATGTGTATTCTAATGTATTAATCCTTTTATTTAAAGGGCATCAATTACATACAACAGAGATTAAATAATATGTGAAAAGTTAAGCTTACTTAAGTCTCCATATTTCTTTTAGGTTATTATTCCCTGCTGTTTGTTTGTGGACAGGATAACAGAAGAACTAGTAGCTCATTTTAACTCAACTGGTTGAAAGGTTGAGGTTGAAAGAACACAGACACATTTGGACTGCTTTGGAATCCGACTCACTGATGAGCAATTTTTGTGTTCTGGTTTTTGTTTGAAGTTCAAGTAGTAACGTCCATGAGCAGTTAGCAGTAATTGCCTGGATGCATGATAACAGTCCATGGAGAGAGCAAAAGTAACACAGCGGCTGTCATGCAATCCTGGAGAACACCCGCAGTCATATAACATAGATATAGATTTAATTTACGTCTATGAACAGATCATTTGCATACGAGTGCAGCTCTGCTTTTTGAGATTGTTTCTCAGCTTGGCCTTCATCTCACTTATCCAGTTGCTTGTTGGACTGTACAAAGTAGCGCACAGAAGATTGAAGTCTTGGCTGAAATGACATTATCAGTGATTGGTGGCTTTACCGAAAATCCTCAAAAAGTAGGGTGGCACGCTAGAAGTCTTACAATATTGGACCGTACTATAGCTATGGGTTTAAGATTGGTATTGGAGGGACAAAATGGTATCTCTGATGTGATATATGAAATATTTACATTTAAGAAGTATTGAATCAATTAAAAAATTTAAAAACCTTTTGATGTGATTTTACATTTATCCAGGCATAAAAAGCTGATAGCTGTTGCAGATTTGCATACTTTAAATTAGAGCCCGGCCAATTAATCTGCCAGCCGATAATATCAGCCGATATCAGAATATCAAGTCACTTTAACAGATATGCACTATTATTACTAGATTTATTCACCAGTCAAATAGCATCTTATCTGAGTTTCATAGTCTTAAACGAGCAGTTCTCTTTCACCAGCAGAGTGTGCTCTATGGATTATAACAAGCTTTATCAATCTCCATAGTGTCAAGCAGTGATGCATGTACGGTTTCTTTCCAGTTGAGTGACCATCTTGTCTTATACTGAATATCTTTTTGTGATTTTGATAATTGTTTGATAATTGCATTTGAGGGAAATAAATGTGTATATCTATATATATCTATTTCTACAGATCGAACATAAATTTAAAAAAAAGATATCGGCATTCAATTTTTTTCTTCCTTATATCGATATCGGAATCAGCTCCAAAAATCCCATATCGTTTGGGCCCTACTACTCTCACAGTGCCCATCCAGCTTATTAGGCACATATTGAAGTAATTAAAATAAGATATTTACAAGCAATTAGGAGTATTCAGAAGTCATAAAGAGTTCAATTTGTGTCATCAAAATAGAGGCTAATTCATTCTGGCAACTTCAAACGCACCAAGAACAAAAAGAAAAATTTCTGCTCCATCATTATACACGACGAGCAAAAGTACGTTCTGCATGCGTAGAGACTAACTCCACCAATAATGACATCATCCCACTTCAAAATACGTGCAGTGACAGTGATTAGAGCGAGTGCAACAGAGAGAGAGAGAGAGAGAGAGAGAGAGAGAGAGAGAGAAGAGAGAGAGAGAGAGAGACAGAGAGAGAGAGAGAAAGAGAGAGCAGGAGAGAGTGAGGAAGAGAGGTCCAAATCCTTAGTTAAGCTCTGGACAGCAGCAGATCCTCTTATGCAACAGCACACACACACACACACACACACACACACACACACACACACACACACACACACACACACACACACACACACACACACACACACACACACACACACACACACACACACACACACACACACAGTACATGTCCATGCATTGCTGAACATGAGACACGAAGATCTCGCAGAAACAAATAGGAAACAACAACTGGACAATTAGACACACTGCACACAAAAAGGGGTGATGCAGCAGAACAGAACAAAGATGCACAGAAAACGGAAAGAATAGACAATCAGGATTCACATTTAACCTGAGTCTTGATCACAAAAATGACCACTGCGACGTGATGAATAATGTCAGAACACAACTGGAAACATTAAAACATCTACAAATAATATCAAATATAGAAAACACACAAAACTTCAAACACAGATTTTTTGTGCTTTTATTGAATATTTGCTCTAAAACTCAATATCAGGAAGAAGAATCAGAGTTCAAATCCTCATACAGTATCTTCTTGCATCTTCTTAAATTATAAGACAGGGGAGAGTACAGTCACTTTGTGTGCCGTTGTATCTTACAGTGGAGGAGGCTGTTTTTTTTTTCACCTCCTCCACTGAATGATGTTCTCCAGTTTGCTCTCACTGTTGTGAAATGACAATAAAGTATTGTATTCTATTCATAACGCTTCCTTTATTCATATTAAGTCAATAAAATCCTTCGCCCTGCACTTCCTTTCAGATGCCCTGAGTTTTTATATAACTCTGATCTTTTCTCTGTGTTGACTTTTGTAAAGCACTTGTGAAAAACGCATCGGCTTATTTTTAAACAAGGTCGTTACAAATTAAGCACAGATAAGTTTGAAGGTCTTTATTTGATAAACTGTATCGAATTGTTGATTGGTGAATAGTAATTACTTCTAAAACAATCAATCGAGGAGAGGCGAAGCATCTACAAGTATTTCTATTTTGAAAAATATGGATTTTTAAGCGAAAATTGTGAAGATATGACAATAGCTCTCTTGTCCCAGGCGATAAAAAAAAGAGGATTTGCTGCCTTCCTGCCATCTAAAATTGCAAACTGAATATTTTGTGGGTTTTGACTTCTAGTTGAACTAAATAAGGTGAATGATGGTCTCACTTTATGCATAGGGAAGATGTAATCTAATCTTCAGAAATCAGAAAATTAATCAACAAATAACCGGTAATAAAAGAATCAGTTACCAGATTTTCAAAGAATCCATCCTTTTCTAAATACAACCTAATAGATAAAGACTGGGGGACATATTACCATGTGTGCTGTATCATCCTTTTGTTGCATGTATAACACAACAACAACAACAACAACAACAACAGCAGCATGGGATTTGTAAAATAAACGCCGTTGGATTCTTGATGTCTACCCTTGAAA